AAACAACAACATTCATGGAATCATAGAATGGGAAGGGACCACTAGGGTCATCTAGCCCAACCCCCTGCAATGCAGGAATCTTTTTACCCAACGTGGGGCTCAAACCCACAACCCTGAGATTAAGAATCCCATTCTCTTACCAACTGAGCCAAGATGCTTGTCCCATTCATCTTGATCTGCTTGCAGGGTGTTTATACATCTTCTTGTTAATCATTCGTTCACGCCACATTTTCCAAATGCATTTTCCCTGTCACTTTCCTAACTGCAAAAAGTCAGTTTCGTTCTAAAAGTGGATTTGCTCTGCCAGGGCAGCAGAGTGCTTTACTCCACTTCAATTGCATGAACCCACATTTTCTGGTAAGCTCTTGAATCCCTCCCAGAAAACGCTGACAGTGTGGAGGCACCCCTATTACCAACTGCATTATATTACAAGTTTTAACCAAGGAGCTGTGTAGTTTTCTAACTCTTGATAGAGCCTATGTGCTTTAAGCAGACCTTAATTAATCCAATTAACACTAATCAAAATTAGGCTTTATAGAGATCAAAAATGCAATGCCTTGAATGCAGCCAAGGCAGCAAAATCCAGAACCGATAAAATAAAATGAAAGCAACCAAGGGCTTCATGAAACAGCTGCTCCAGCTGTTCTGGAGGTAATTGACTAGTTCTGGGTTATATGGCAAGAAAAGGCTGCTTGGTGCAATTAATTTTGCTTTCCAGTTTTGTAGCTTTCCCTTTGCTCTCTTTATGTTTCTTGTTCATCACCCAGTGTGTGAAATACGCCTCGGACAGCTGAACCTCCCCACTGCTGTCAAAGGAAAAACCCGTCGCAATCAGTATCGCCAATACGGGCGGTTAATGAAGCCAGCGGGGGATTGGATCTGTCACTTTAGCAAGCAATCCGCAGGATGCAGGACCGCAGGCTGCAGGCGGAAGAGAAGAAAGGCTCTTGCAAGCTAATCTGCAAGGCATGATTTGAAAGGCCCTGTTGTTTCACGGGAAACCAAAACGAGAAGGCAAAGCGAGACAAGAGCAGGGGGAAGAGCACACTGGGGTCCCGTCAGCATCAGATCCTGTTCCTGTGGCCAAAGAGGGGGCACGACTCCCCTAGGAGGAAAAGCTACAACATTTGGGCCTTTTTAGTTTATAGAGGAGGCAATTAAAGGGGGAGGACAGGTGTACAAAATTGTGCATGGTGTGAAGAAAGTGGACAGAGTTTTTCTCCCTCTCTCTCGTAATTGGAGCTTGGCCACCAATGAAGCTGAAAGTTGGTGGGCTGAGGACAGATAGAAGAAAGGACTTCTTCATGCAGTGCACAGTTAAAATACGGAACTCGCTCCCCCAGGAGGCAGTGATGACCACCAACTTAGATGGCTTTAGAAGATGATTAGACAAATTCATGGAAGAGAAGACTGTCAATGGCATCTAGCCGTGATGGCTTTGTTCTGCTTCCACAATGTTGCTGGAAACCACAGGAGAGCTCTTGGGCTCATGTTCTGCTCCTGGTTTCCTGCAGGAATCTGGTTGGTTCCTTTGAGAACACGGTGCTGTACTACATGGGACATTGGCCCTCAGCCTGATAGTTGTTCCGCCTGGCCTTTGGCTTGGAATCAATTTTATTCCCTCGCCCTCTTTCTTTTTTCCTTTCTCCTTCTGTGTTGGAACTCCTATTTGGGGACTTCTATGCCACCGAAGGAGTATTTCTTTTCATACTACAATAAAACTCATAGAATGCAACACTAAAAAGGTAAAGGTAAAGGACCCCTGGATGGTTAAATCCAGTCAAAGGCGACTATGGGATTGCAGCACTCATCTCGCTTTCAGGCCGAGGGAGCCGGTGTTTGTCCACAGACAGCCTTCCAGGTCATGTGGCCAGCATGACTAAACCGCTTCTGGTGCAACGGGACACTGTGACGGAAACCAGAGCACATGGAAACGCCGTTTACCTTCCTGTCGCAGCGGTACCTATTTATCTACTTGCACTGGTGTGCTTTCAATCTGCTAGGTTGGCAGGAGCTGGGAGAGAGCAACGGGAGCTCACTCCATTACGGGGATTCGAACTGCCAACCTTCTGATCAGCAAGCCCAAGTGGCCCAGTGGTTTAGACCCCAGCGCCACCCGCGTCCCATAATGCAACACTGCGCTCTCCCAGTCATCATGGTCAGCTCAAGCATTTCAGCAAGAAGGGCCAGTAGCATAACCCACTATGATGCTAGGCTGGGCATTGATGCTGATGCTGAATCCAGCAATGACAGACATGTTGGAGCTGGGAATGTACCCTGTCTGAAACCCTGGAGAGACACCGCCAGTTAGTGGGGACAATACTGAGTTAGGTTGACCAGTGGTCTGACCTGGTATATGGCAGGTTCTTACTGCCCAATGATCAAGGCTTGAAGGGATAGGCAGATGGTTGCTGCAAACTGAAAAGCCCAGCTTGGGCGGCTTGTGGAGATCTGGGAAACATCTGACACTGGAGACAAATGTTTGCTCATTTCAATATTTGCTTTGGAATTGGCATTTTCAGTACAGCCAAACTGATTACCATGAGGACGGTCAACAATGTTCATATTGTTTCAATGCTGTTCAGTGCCTTCTCATTTCCAACTCTACCATTTTGTGATTCTGTGATTCCCTGGTTGCTGCTCCTTCTTGGAATCTTCTTCTTCTTCTTCTTCCTCACTTTTCACACCTTCATTTACCTTCACTGCCTATAAATTGACGGCCTGAGATGACCCCCATAGGATGACTTGATTCTTGCAGCATCCTCAATGTCATCGTGTCAGATGCAGCATTGTGGGATCATTGACTAAATCACAGGGGTTGCCACAGCCAGGCTAAGGGCAGTGAGGGCAAATTAAGTAAAGGACAGTAAAGGCAAAGAGGATGGAAGTGCGGCAGTTAGAAGCAGCACCAGCTAGGGGGATGAAAGAGCAACTCTGTAACATAGAATCAAATATAAATACATGAATTCAATATTGCTGAAAAAGGTCAGGTGTTTCTTCGCCTACTGAACAGAAAACTCGAGCAGCTTGCCCTTAGACATGTGTGTATGGAGAGACATGAGGTCTAGTGGACTTAGCTCTAAACATGAATTTGGGATACCTGAGTTCTAGTGCTAATTCTACTTCACAAAATAAGCAATTATTTTGTGCCCTTGGGCAAATACTCACCTATCAGCTGTAGGAATAAGAACAATCTGCCTTGCACAGTTATTGTGTGACGTTTACATTTTGGGGGGAAACAAACCACGGTAAACAATTTTTGCAAAAATGAGAATTATGTGCAACTGCTAAGTAGCAACCATAGTTTCATTCTGAGGTTCCGTTGTTGTGGATAGCACACAAAAAAGCAACACCCCTTACAAAATCAGATATGTATGTTTTGGAATTGAAGCTAGAGCGTAGGAGGGTTGCAGTTGCAGTGTGTGTGTGTGTGTGTGTGTGTGTGTCACAGGGATGCACTGATCCATCCTTCGCTGATTGTTTAGACCACATTCGCTCCTTGCATGGAGAAGCTCTACCAGAACTGAAGTTTTCTGTGCTTTTGCAGAGTCCTTTCCCACAGCATCCAAATGCCCAGGTGGCAGGGAAAGATGTCTGCCATTCACAGTGGGGCTGGGAGAAGGGGCTGCAGCCTCCGTGCCAGCAGTAGGAGATGGGGCTGGCCCATGTGTCTCCATGTGTCTCACCTGCTGCTTTAATTTGAAAAGCAGCTCAGAGACTTTACATACACATGCATATCATTCATTAGCTTTCCGCCAGAGCAAAATGTGTTATGATCCATCACTGTTGTATTTTAAACCTGTATGATGATGATGATGTTTGCTAGCTTAGTGTTATAGAGTGCTAGTTCTGCTAGGTCTAGTATTGTGTTTAGCTGCACAATGTAACTCCTTTACCTGGTCCCCTCCCTGTGTGACTCTGTGAATCTGCTCTGGAAGGTGCGGGGGGGGGGGCAGATATTGGGGTGCAGGCAGTGTGCAGGAAATGGCGAGGACGAGGAAAGTTCCATTGCACAGCCAATACTCCTTGCAGTAGCGCAACTGTTGGATATCACCCGCAGAAACTGCCTTTCCTCAGCAATGCACCTCATTCTATCTTTATGAGGCTCCCTGGCTGCTCTTGGCTGCAGCTGTGGGGAGATCAAGGAGATCATGGGAAAACGAGATCCCTGCCTTTACCAGTAGCAATTAAGAGGCAGTGGTGAAGGCAGTGGGCTCTTCAAGAGGAAATGGCTAGCCAGTCAGCAATCACATGGTTGCTTACTGCTGACTGAGGTTCTTCTGCCACTATGCAGGTGTTTGTTGATTGACTAGTCCTCCTCCTTTGAGATTGGCATCCTGAGTCCACACAGGTGGAATCTGGCCAGTCAGAGCGGTATTTGCATGGTGGTGATTGAAGCTTCTCTGCAGCACCACTGGCCAGCTGCAATCAGTAATGGTGGGAAATTCTTCTATTGCCTGAGACAGTATTCTGTATTTCCCACTAGTAAACTGTTTGATCAGCCACTGACAATTTATTGATTTATATAGACCGTTTGCTGCTATCGACAGACCCTGAAGCGGTTTACAGTAAGTATAAGTTGCTGGTGGTACCTGTGGAAGAATTTTTTTAAAAATGGGCTAAAAATACTACGGCAGTGGTGCCCTCCCATCAGATGTCAAACAGATAAACAACTATTTAACTTTTAGAAGACATCTGTTCAGGGAAGTTTTTAATGGCTGATGTTTTATTGTGTTTTTAATATTGTGTTGGGAGCTGTCCAGAGTGGCTGGGACAACCTAGTCAGATGGGTGTCGTATAAATAAAATTATTATTATTATTATTATTATTATTATTATTATTATTATTTTAAGGAAGGATTTCTTTTTTAAACAACCCTCTCAAGTAAACTTTGCATAAAACTTGCCCTCGAGAACGACTGGACGATTTTTTTAAACATTGTTTTATTAAATAAAGAATAAGAAAACACCTCTGTTTTATAGAAGAGAATTTCAAAATTTCTACCTAGAATCGCTTGTCTCTGCCAGTCTATTGTTCATGATAGCTAGAGCGCCTACTCCTCCTGAGAAGCCATTTTGCCTCGTGTTTATGCAGACATTCCGAGGGTAGCCATTGGCCGTCTCGGATAGTTGCTTTTGCAGGAGGGCCAGAGAGACTTTGTTGGAGGCGGTGAGATCCCTCATGGAGATCATCTCACCCGAAAGGCGCCTCCCCTCTGTGTCGCTGTCGTACTGTCCGTCCGTCTCCATAGAGATGTTGTGCCGGCGGAACCGGGACCCCGGTGTGATGGCATTGCGGCGCCCGAGGCGAGCGGTCGGTTTATGGCAATCTGGACAGCACCGGCACCGGAACTTTCTGAGCATCCAATTTAAAACCTGCTTGATTACAATCGAGATGACGTTAAAAAGGGAGTAGATGCAGCAGACCCCCATCAATATAAACATGAAGTTCCCAAATCTGTATAATCCCTGATTTCGGTACACGGCGTTTTGGCTGCTCACCAGGTCGCCAAACCCAATGGTGCTGAAGGTGACGAAACAGTAGTACAAGGAGTCGATGTAATTCCACCCTTCCACGGCGGTGTACATGGCCGAGGCACAGCAAGCGATAGTAATGGCAAGGATTCCCAGGATCAGCATCACGTGATAGACTGATGGCTTCCACCCAATCAGGCTGTCGACGTCGGACATGGATGAGCCCCTTCGGCAGGTTGGAGGTAGAAGGCCGCTCCTCCTCAGCTGCCTCTCGTGGCAAGCCTTCATCACCAAAGCGAGTAGGGAGATGATGCGCTCCAGGAAGAGGTTGAAGAAGAGGATTGTTGCGGCACACCCAAAGAGACCATAAACGATGAGGAAGGCTTTGCCAGCGACCGTTGCCGGTGTGGACATCCCGAAACCTGCAGCAGCAAAGAGAGAATGAAGTGTTTATATAAAAAGATACAGCCCGATATTGTTTTGGTGCTAGAGGCTGGAAATTTCCTCTCTTCTCCTCTGGTGGTAATATTAGAAGAATTAACAGGATGACTGGCAACTGGTGGAGTGTTGTTGGTTTTTTTAAATGGTAACTCAAAATGTCGCATGTGAGGCAGACCAAAGGCAACAAAAATGGTAACCACCAAAAGGAATTTGAAGCAGGAGCTAAAAGCAACGGAGGGAAACTAAATAGATGTGTTCTGGAACCTACTGGGAAAGTTAAAACCAATTTACAAAAAAATTGCCTTGTGGGAAGTTGGCTCAGGTTATAAGAACATAAGAAAGCCTGTTAGATCAGGTCAGTGGGCTATCAAATCCAGAAACCTGTTCTCACCCTGGTGAACCAGTTGCCGGTGGGAAACCAGAAAGCACTCTGCCCACTTGCAATTCCCATTAAGTACAAGTGGCTCAAAATACGGTGTATACAGAAACAAAATACCTGATACCAAGCCTGAGACAAAAATATCACAAGTGGATAAAATAGTTGGCAACAATGCCATGCCATACGTTCTCTAGACTTGCGCTTTTCTTTGAAAGTAGCAGTGGCAGATTGAAGCCAACTGCAACCAAATAAAGAAAAGAAAAAGAAGAGGGGGAGATCTCTCATTTGCTGAGATTATTTGCAATGGTTTGCAACCTCTGCTTTTCTACTGTTGTTGTTTGCTGCTGTTACTCCATGGGCCATTTATTTTGCTGGTTCATTATTCTAACTTAAGTGATGCCAGCCAATCAGGAATCATGTACCAGTCGAGATGATGTCATGATGATTAACATGTAGTTGATTAGATTTCGTTATGTACTGACATCATTAAAGGCAAAGCACATCCATCAGAGGGATAGCAATGCTTCTTGTGTAACTGGCAGTCCTAACCAATCAGGGATCACATCAGGAATCAAGCGGTCCATTTGACCGAAGGGCCCTTCTTTCAAATTTGCATGAAGCTGATCATGAAAGTGCCGCACCCATTTCTGCTCTGCACCAGTTAGTAGCCCTGCGCCTAGTTCATTGGCTGGTTCCATCTAGCTTGCTCAAGAGACAGAACTTCCAAGCCCAAAACTATGTGTGATGTAACCACATCGGAAGTACCGTATTTTTCGCCCTATAGGATGCACCGGCCCATAGGACGCACCTAGATTTGGGGGGGGGGGAATAAAGGAAAAAAACTTTATTCCCCCCCCCCCAGGTGCAGGGCTGGGGAAGCCCGAGCTTCCCCCGACCCCAGCTCCCAGAACAGGAAGCTCTCCGCAAGCCTGAGCTTCCCCCTCCCCCAGCCCCCAGAACGGGACCCAGAGCCATGCCGAAGCTGCATGCAGCTTCGGCATTGCTCTGGGAGCTTGCGGGGCTGGGGGAGGGGGAAGCCCTCCGCCAGCCTCCAAACCAGGTCGGGAGACAGCGGGATGGCACGCTGCGCCTCCCCGCTGTCCCCCGAGCTTGTGGGGCTGGTGGTGGGGCTCTCCTGAAGCCTGGAGAGCGAGAGGGGTCGGTGCGCACCGACCCCTCTTGCTCTCCAGGCTTCGGTGAAAGCCTGCATTCGCCCCATAGGACGCACACACATTTCCCCTTCATTTTTGGAGGGGAAAAGTGCGTCCTATAGGGCGAAAAATACGGTAGTTCCTAGAGCCTCAGAGGTTTAAGCAGCAGAATGCAGAGACATTCCAGAAGCTCTTGCTTCATCCAAGTCTCCAAAGAGTTATCAGCTATTCTCCATTTTGGGAGATGTCATGTACAGTGAAGAATAGTCCTTCATTCCCAAACTCTATGGTGCCACTTAAAACTGCATGGAACAGACAACCCAGTTCTGCAGCATCTCTTTGAACTAAGGAATATGTGTATCTGGCAACTCCACATGCACTTTATTCAGTGACAATCCAAGGGCTTAATTTGAGGGCTTGTTTGCTAGTGCGTGGTTGTTGTGAGGAGGAGCGGGAAGTCTTTAATAACACACTGGTGATAGAGGAATCAAAACGTACAGCAAACCCCCCATACTCAGGAGGGTATGATAACACACTACCAGGGACTCAGACAGCTGTAGAGATTCAGAGCTCTTGCAGAGGGAAAAATTACACCCTTGTTTGACCTCCACACCAATCAAGTTCTTTTTTTGTGGTGTCTAAACAACTCAAGGACATTTCAGAAAATAGGACGTTGCCAATTATGTTCTCAGTTCCTTTACTAGTAAATTGTAGAGCTAGTCTTCAAAAGCAGCCTAATACACAAAGCTGGAACTCAAGGAATTGAAACATAAAACTGCAAACTACACAGGAGTAATAATTTGCTAGTCAATGACCATGTCTTACTCCTCATATCAGGTACTTGTTAATCTGGGGATGTGATGACAGCAGCAACAGGGTTGTACCATTACAAATTATTGCATCCTTCGATACCACATGATAGGCATTTAGTGACTGCTATATATTTCCAGACACCCAGGTCATATGTTAGCTTAGTGGCAAAGGAACAATTCCAATATGGTTTGGTCCCATCATGGTCCTGTAATATATGAAGAGAAACACAGAGGTGGAAGGTATTTCATAGGCCACCTAGTCCAACCCTTGGCTGATGCAGGAAATCCACGGCTACAGGATCCCTCAAAGATTGTCATCTAGCTTCCGCTTTAAAATCTCTAATGAGGGAGAGCCCACCACCTGCCCTGCCCTCAAGAAACTTGGATGCCGAGCTATTGATGTTTAGTTGAAATCCCATTTAGTACTTCAAATTGATTGGGCTGGGTCCAAAGCAAGGTTAACCAATATGGTGGCCTCTAGATGCTGTTCACCATCAGCCCCAGCAAATATGACCAATGGCCAGGGATGGCGCCGTAGAACCTGGTAGACACCATAGAATCATAGAATTGTAGAGTTGGAAGGGACCCTGGTGATCATCTCAGCCAACCCCCTGCAACGCAGGAATATGCAGCTGTCCCATACAGGGATCAGACCTGCAACCTTGGCATTATTAGCACCGCATTCTAACCAGCTGAGCTATCCAGGCATGTTGGCGCTAGAGCATCAGAAAACAAGCTTGTTCTGTCATCCATATGACAACCTTTCACATATTTGAAGATGCCTATTGTATTATCTTCTACTTCTCTCTTCTCCAGACCAAATATACCCAACTCTAGGGGTGGATGTAACGACAGGGTTTCCCCCACAACTTTATTAAAAGGTAAAGGTAAAGGTACCCCTGCCCGTACGGGCCAGTCTTGCCAGACTCTAGGGTTGTGCGCCCATCTCACTCAAGAGGCCGGGGGCCAGCGCTGTCCGGAGACACTTCTGGGTCACGTGGCCAGCATGACATCGCTGCTCTGGCCGTTTACCTTCCCGCTAGTAAGCGGTCCCTATTTATCTACTTGCACCTGGGGGTGCTTTTGAACTGCTAGGTTGGCAGGCGCTGGGACCAAACGACGGGAACGCACCCTGCCACAGGGATTTGAACCGCCGACCTTTCGATCGGCAAGCCCTAGGTGCTGAGGCTTTTACCCACAGCGCCACCTGCGTCCCCACAACTTTATTGCCTGGCCCCAAATATACACAGTGCTGATATGGAGTGACCAACTAGTTAAGTAGTCATAGAAACCTATGAGAGAAACAAAGGACTCTCTTGAGATGTAATGCTGGGATTCTCCTCCACCTAGGCTCAGGTTATGTGTAAATAAACCATATATCATAAAGACACCACAGTCTCTACTGTGCCTTGTTGTCCAAAGGAAAAACAGGCCCTGGTAAGCACGCTTAGTACCCCTGGGATCTCATATAGCTTGGAGATAGGAGCGGCATCTAACAATATATTTTTTTACTGTCCCAATGAGGTTTCCACTGCTGAGAAGTTATTTTTAGCACCTTGAAAACATGTCCCCACCCCCAGCAGTGTGAAGGTACCATCACAAGCCTCTGGGAGTAATGATCAACCTGACCCAACGTAGAATTAGGCAGCAGTCATTGATTTATTTTAGAAACGGCAACTTTGTTGTGGCAACACAAGCGATTCATAATCACGGACCTGTTGGCAATCCCATTGTTAAAAGAATAGCACAGTAGATTAACAATAATTGGCACGCAGCCTCAAGGAATCAGAGAAATAATGAGAGAATTTGGAGGCATAGAGCAAACTAATTGGAGCTAGAGGAGGAGCATGTTGTAATCATTTGCAAATAAGATAGCGGGAGCCTGTAGCAACAGGGGAAGGCTGCTTGGGGACAGATTTGGAGTGAAGAATTTGTGGGTGGCCAAGCACTCTCCCCTATCCCAACTCTCAATTTCATCCACCTCAAGCAGCTTTTCATTTGTTGTAATTAAACAGTTAATCACAGGGGTGGTGTGATGGACTGGCTGAACACAGAGGAATGGTGGGAGGCATCCACTGCGGAACCCTCAAGGGATGAAGGCTCAGAGCCTGGGGGTTGGTGGTGGGACAGAGATGAGTGGTCAGAGGGAGAAGAGGGAGAAGCCTGGGGGGGGGAGTAAGTGTTGGTAGCTAAAGAGGTAACAGGGTTTAGTGAGCAGGGATAGAAGGTGGGAAGCAGAAGCAGAAGTGGGAGCTGGAGAGGAGGGAGCCCAAGAGGCAGATATGAGCCAGGCTGATGAAGAAGCCAGGGTGTCTCCCCCTCCTGCTGCAACCAGCTCCTCTCTCCCCTGGTCTCCCAGGACTAGGAGAAGTATGAGGAGCAAAGACAGGTGCGCCGGCATATTCTCAAATTGCTGGGGAAAGACCTGGCGGAGGCAGAGATTTAGGCAGCCGTGGGAAGGCGGAGACCTTCTGCCTCCGCAATTATATAATGCAATTTATATGCAATAAATTTCTATTTATACCCCACCCTTCCCGGTTCAGAAAACCGGGCTCAGGGCGGCTAACAACAAATTTAAAACACTTAATTGATGCAAAAAAAAACAGAATAAAATACAGTATAAAACACGGATAACAATA